ATCTGTGCCTGCTGCTTCCTCGAGAGCCTCCATCCATGGCCTCTTTTCGGAGTAGCGACTTCCTGAGTGCTGGACGGAGGCCCTGACTGACCTTCCCACCTGGTGCTGGGTGGGAGCAACTTCTGATTGCTATGCTGGGGTAGGACTGAAGTCCTAGGCAGGGATAGCCCCACACCTCATTGGGAATCTCCTGCACCAGTCAGGCTACGTGGAATGTGTAAAACCTCATTGTGGGCAAGCAAACACGGGTGGGCACTGTGACACCCTGGCACCCCAATATTCACTACTGTCATGTAATTAGGATATGTTTTGTACAAAGTATGCCTTGTGAGGTATCATTTTAAAAGTCTTGATCTGCTAGACATTAATATCTGGTTGGATTGTATGTGCTTTCATTGTATGTGAAGTTATGAAGTTTGGCTATGTATGTGTTATTGAAACATGTTATGAGGCTGAAAAACACCCACAAGCAGCCTTTCAGATACAACAGTAAAAAGGCCAAACAATGTTAGTGGCTTATTGAGGAAATGCAGACAAGCACAAGGATTACCCCAGGAACTGTGTACAACAGAAACCTTTCAGAGATAGCACTACACAATGGGAACTGTTTGACCCAGGTCACAGCAAAAGAGCTTTCCAGCAAGTGGGAAGAAGATATAAAAGGGGGAAAATGACATCATGTGGGTACCTCATTCTCCCTACAACAACACACCTGGAGACACCTGAGGAACAAAGACTGAACTGGGGGAAAGTGATGGTCCCAGGCCAAAGAGATTTCTAGCCTGTGTATGAAAATCTGAGAAATCCAAGCTGCAAAGCCAAGGCAGCTTGTGCCTTAAGAATCTGCCAGCCTGTTTATCACTCAGGGTGAGAATTTGCTAATTCATATCCTGCCTATCTAGTATGTTAAACTCAGTTTGTGGTTTTGTTTTTTAAAAGGTAATCTACTTTGCGCTGTTTGCTATTACTTAAAATCTATCCCTTTCTAGTTAATAAATTTATTTTATGTTTTAATCCAAAACAGTGTGCCTTTGCCTATGGTCCCTGGGGAAAATCTCAGCTTGGTTACCACAAGTGTACATGGTCCTCTTCACATTGAGGGAGAGGAGGACCAGGTGTTAAACCCATATACTGGCCAAATTTTCACCAGGCAGGACAGTACTGCTCTGGGGTCCTAGGCTGGGAGGCTGGCAGTTAGAAAGCCTTCATGTGACTGCAGCTGGGTGTGTCCCTACCTGTGTGAATGCTGGTGAAAGTGCAAGGTTGGAGGGCTTTGCAACTTGTCACAGCAGCACGTGTGAGAAGGAGCCCAGGCTGGTGGGTCAGAGGGCTCAGTGGTACCCCAGTTCCAGGTTGCACCCCGGGGGGACCTGTCACAGGCACGTTACAGGAAACTGAGACGGTTTGCACTGATCAGCATCAGTTAGTTACAGGAAGGGCTAGTGACACCAAACTAGCAAGAGACAGACATGGGGCAGTCGAAGGAGGTGCAGAGAATTCTTTAGGCCCTTCTCCTGCCCTCCCGCCCCCACTTGCCCCATAGACTCTCCAGGCCCTGCTACCCTGATGGTGTTGCAGTGTCCCTCATGGTGCACATGGGATGGGGATTGGCTGCAATGAATATAAAAGGAATTCTTTAAGGAGGCTGCTGGACACAAAATAACTTTGAGGTTCTCTCTCGCCCTCCGATTGATTCATACAGCCGCTGCTGCCACCCTTTGGGCTGGCACTGTGGGATTGGAGTGGGCACCACCACATGAACTGCTACAGTGTGAATTAGTGCCAGAACTGGCACTGCAACAACTCATATCCTCTGTGGATCAGCACAGAGGGGGACCTGTAACACACTCACCACTGGGTTAGCTCATCACTCAGGGAGCCTTATTGCCTCGCCTGGCTGAAGCAGCCTGGGAAGGGCTGTTGATCTACACGCCTGGTGGGCTCCAAGCTCTGGAGAACCCCATGCCCTAAACAGCCTGTGTTTAGCAGCAGACAAACACACATGGCCTAGCCCCATATGCACACTGTTGCTCTGTTTGGCTCTGGAGACTTCTGCAATAGAACACACAGTGAGGCCCACTAAAGGGCTCCCAAACTATTTAAAGGGATACTTCCCAATTCCTATACATTGCACGCTCCCTGGGCTCCGTTCTGGGAATAAAAAGGGGAAAGCTCAGGATGGCAAATCCAGAGCTAAATAAGCGTAAGTTTTTAAAAATAAAGTATTGCCAACCCCAAGAATTCAAAAGTCACAGGACTGGCTTAAGAATCTTGAGATTTAAATACACACCCCATTTGGGTTCCTTTTATTTAATTGCTTGTCATTTTTTTTTTTTTACCTTTTAGGTCACACTGGAGTCACATTTCTAAGCTTTTATCCAGGACCACGAGGGTTAGAAACATACATTAGAAAAACAAAACAAAAAGAAAGCTAAGTTTTGCATGAATTCACATGACTCCAGGAGCTGGGACTTTCAGAAATACAACAGATAGTACCAGTCTCATCATTAAGTCATGAGAGTTAGCAGCACTGGAAATACAAATGGAGGGGGAAAGTTGCCTCCATATGAAAGCTTTTCCTTGGGACATTTTGGAAAGGACTCTGTAATAAAACCTAGCTCTCATATTGTGCTTTTCAGCAGCAGATCTGAAAGTGCTTTAGAAAGGGAGGTAACTACTACGATTCCTATTGTCCCCCCCCTCCCCCGCTTAGGGACGGAGCACCCACAGTCAGCCACGTCCGTTTCCTCGGAGACAGGAAAGGCCCAGCCAGGCCTTGCTGAGCCAAAAGGGCATTTTTCACATAGCGCCGCAGAACAGGAGGGCTCCCTGCCAACTTCAGCAGTTCTCTCTCCCCTTTCCTCCCTCCCTCCCGACCCACTGCCATGAAAACCGCAGACTGTCTGACAAAGAGGAAAGATGAATGGAAAACATCACCCTAAGCAAAAAAAACCCTGGCGTGATGCATTGCAGAAAGAGGGGGCCGTGGGCCGTGCAGCACCATTTATTCAGTAATGCTGGCAATATCAATACGGACACCAGCAGGGCTCCCCAGTTCCAGGGCCTGGCGCACCTTGGAGCTCTGCAAACTAACTCCCTCCTGCTGAGATATAAGTGCCACCCCAAGGGAAAGAGATGAAGCAAAGTTAACCAAGCAGGAGGGGGTGGTCCCTGTTTAACCCCTGCCTGTTTTAAGGGGGCACAATTCTTGTCCAGTTAAACAGACCCTACATAGATATCCATCACCAGCTGTGTGCAATTTAACACCACTGTATCCTTCTGAGGCCCACAGAAGAGTTATCAAATCAGATCTGCCTTCAGATTTCTCCATCTGTGCGCAGTTGCAGGTGTGGTTTGGTTGAGCGTTCTCTCCTAGGATTTCCAAGCTAAGCCCCCTCATGGACTGATCAGACAAGACGGGGAGTCGTACAGGGCATAGGACAAAAGGCTGTTGTGTTAGGAGCAACAGGAATTACAGGGGTGAGAAAGAAACAGCGGAGCTTTTCATAAGAGGTAGACTGAGCAGGATAGAGAAACTTCTGAGCACCCAGCCCCTCTGATCGCTGTATCCTTTCACCACTGACGTAACCTTGTCCTCTTCCCCTTTTCTGATTCGTGTCTAGCTGCCATCAGAACTCACTTCCCTTTGACATTTCCCTTCCAAAAATATACATTTATCTAGCACTGATCCAGAGCAAAACCTTCCACCTCCCAGATTGGGTCCCGACCAACAGCTCTCCTTTGTTACTCCCATTCTCACACATGATGAGTGGATTCCAGAAACTGAAACATCACTTTGGCAGGCACTTCTGTCCTTTAACCTCCTTATCTAGATCTGAGCCACAAACCAGCGAGGTGATGCAGACAAGCAGCAGGGGCCAGGGCCAAAGGATGCAAGCTGCCTCCCCCACACAGCTCTGCCAATTCATGATAGTCCCGGCTTTCAGCATACCCTGAGAAGCCAGTATCAGCAGCCACATACAACCCCAGCTCTCATGATTTTATTGTGAATCTTGCAATAATTGGTGTTTAAATCCCCAGCTGCTGGAGTCATGGGAATAGATAGGGAATCTCAGCTTTCCTTCTGAAAAATAAGGAAGTTTCTAGCTCTCAAGGTTTCAGAGAAAGGCATGAAAATATGACCCCAGTAAATTTCAAAGCTCAGAATCGGAAGGCAAAGAAAACATACCCAATATATCTTTTGAAAACTCATGATTTTTAAGCCAATCTTGTATTTTGGGGGAGCTGACTTGCGATTTTGAACACTCAGGGTTGGCAGAACTGTGAATGCACCTCAGGTCTTATCTGCATCCTCCAACATCTATCATTTCGCTCCTAGGACCTCAGACAGCTCTGCCAATGCACTTCAGTACTAACCTACAACATTGCCTGGTGTTCCACAATGCTCCTCATCCTGAGGTCAGCCCGCACTACTACTCCACTACCAGGCTTCCAATACAGCTCTGCCCATACCCCTCAGTCCTAGGGCCAGATTAACCTTTTGTGGGCCTGGCGCCAAACATATTTGTGGGCCCCCATGTAGGCAATGGAGCATGGTGCAGGCAGGTCAGTCCCCGGACCGAGGGGCCAGCCAGAAGCAACAGGGCATGGCATAGCAAGGGAAGCATCGCTCCACCCAGTGCGAGGGCACTATTTACAAACTGGCAGTTGCCAGACACACAGTGGCCTGCCCGGCCCTGTGCTGCCAGCATGCCCCTTCCCCTTGGGGGCAGGTCCATGCCACACCACACAGCCTCCCCTGCCCAACACCCAAAGGCCCCCTGGACCCACTATTCCCAGTGTCCCCCCAGACCCACCCACAAATGCACAGTACCCTACACACCACCACCCCTACCCAAAGCCTCACCACAACTGCCCAGCACCCCACACAGAACCCCCACTCCCTAGTGCCCCAACACACACTGATCTTCCCTGCCCCCTCACAGCCCAGCACCCCCCGCCCCATACTCTCCTAAGCCCTGCTTCCCAGCCGCACTCACCTGGGAGGTGACTGTGTCTGCCGGGCTGAGCCGGCCGCGCAGCCATGGCTGGTCCCAGGGTCAGGAATCGCTCCAGTCCCTCGGGAGTGGCGTGATCAGCCAGGCCAGGACATGCCCTGGCTGGGGTCCCTCAAGACGCACTTGCCTAGAGGGGTCCAGCCAAGCCCTCCACATTGTTGCCCCACCCACACACCTGGCTGAGACTGGCCAGGCTTCTGCACCAATCCCAGGTGGCACAGCTCCGGGGAGACAGGTGGGGCCCCACAGGTGGTGGGAAGTAGAGACTGCCCAGAGGCGGAGGTGGAGGTGCATTGGGGTCCGGCCAGGGGGTTGAGAGGAGCCCTCGGCCAGCTGGTGGGCAGGCTGAGAGGAGCAAGTGGTGGGCGGGGGGAGCCAGCAGAGTCTTGGGGCACAGTGCAAGCAGAGCAGGCCAGGGCCCCTTCTGAGCATGGGCTCAGCTCCATGGAGCCACTGGTGCCATTGTAAACCTGGCACTGCTCAGTCCTCAGTCACAGCACCCGGGGGCTCGTTCTAGGGGACAGGCAAGCAGGGTGGTCACCCTGGGTGCCAACCTGCTGTGCCACTTGGCTCCCCTGCTCCTTGGCCACTTGGGATGGGTGGGATGGGAGAAACATTTTCTGCCCTGGCCAGCAAAATGGCTAGGGCCGCTTCTGCAGCATCTCCTCCCTGCTCTCCTGTGCTGGGCCCCCAAAGCTCTGCCAGTACACCTTGTCCTGATGTGCAGCCCTCTGCTTTTCCACTACCAGGCTCTGCTGATACCCCTTAGTCCTCACCTGCAACCACCCACCCCGCAGGACTCTGTCTCTAAACAGAGACTCCCAATGGCATGGAGGTCAGCAGTCAGCATTGCAATGTGTGACCAGTCTCCTGGGGATTATATGCAGACCCACAAAATCCATTCCATCTGTGACAACCTTTGCACTCAGGCCATCAGATTACAAAGGGCTCAGCTAGCACTGAAACCTGCTAGGAAAAGCAGCTTTCTTGGATTGTGCCTTCTTGGAACACTTGGCTTCTCTCAAAATAAACCTTCCTGGCCAACAAGAATGACAACCTGCAATTTCATGATTGCTGTCTGGAACGCAGAAGCCAGAGACAACAGGGCTCATTGTGTTTTCCAAAGGTTAAAACACAGGGTACAGATGTTATCTTAGTGGCTGTCTGAGCCCTTTAAATCCTTCTGATAAATGGATAAGTCCCTCCCTCCAATCTCAGACCAGGTTCAGTGCCACCATTGATAAGAATGTCTCCTCCCACGAGAATGTCACTGTGCTGGGGGCAGAGACAGAGAGGCTGTTTTGCAGAGGGCGCAGTATTGCTCTGGACTGGACCCAGAGCTCCCCGGCCCTGCTGCTGGCAATAACTCTGCTCGTGTAGATTTATTTCCTGGTGCGCAACATTGTCTGGGAAATACGGTTGGGAAAGCAAGTCAGGCTGCAGCTGAACTCTCTCTGACCCCGCCGTGGCCAAGTTTTGTTGATGCAGAACAGACCGCCAGTTCCCAAGGTTTACCTTGGAACAGACGCAGACAAATACCTGGCAAGGAGGAGGAATGAACCGACTTTGCAAAGGAATAAATCAGCCACAGGCGCCCAGCGCTGTCCCAGCATAACCAGCATAGGAACCAAGGCCTACAGCTGCCTGGAGGGGGAAGCTGAAGGGTAGAAGCTAGGCTGGGTGGTCCCTCAGCAGAGCAGAGAGGAGCTGTCACATGGCACAAACTTCTGCTGAAGCTGCCAGTGCTGCCATCCACTCCCTGGCAGGCTTGACTCCAGCCCTCTGCATTATAACGAGGCCCATCCATTGGGCTAGGATGCAGGGAAGCTGGGTTCAATTCCCATCTCAGCCACAAATGTCACACGTGACCTTGGCCGGGTCATTGAATTGACTATGGGCTTCAGTTCCCACATCTGTAAATAGGACCATCCTTCCCTCCCTCATCAGGCAGTTGTGAGAACGTCCAGGACTGACTGTGAGGTGCCCAGACACTACCCTAATGAGAGCCGCAGAAGTATCTAGAGTGATAGACTCTGTTATGGACCAGGGCATGTATCTTAGAGTCCCTATGCCCCTCCACCCATGCTAGGTCCCTTCATCATGAAGGACGCCTTTGGACTGAGACCCAGAACACGGAGTCAATTGTATGAGGGGGCTGCTTGTGATGGTGGGCTTACTTCCCATTTAAGTGTTATGTTCCTAAAGTTCATGCTTCAGGGCTTCAGCCAGCCACCTGCAGGGGGTCAGGAAGGGATTTTGCCCACCCCCAATGTATTCTGAGAGGGTCTTTTGGAAAAATCTCCTTAATTTGAAGCACCAGGGATAACTACAGCTGGAGATGGGATATTGGACGAGGCAGGCCAGGCCTCTGCATTGCACCTACTATTGTCTCAGGTGCTTGGTTGCCTCGTTCTTGCTCACATGCCATGTGGGGGGCCCAGAAGGAGTTTCCCCCCAGGGCAGATTGGCAGTAACTTTGGGAGTTTTCACCTTCCTCTGCAGTGTGGGGTGTGAGTAACTTGCCAGGATTATTTGGGTCTCTCTCACTTCATTTTTTCCATGCCTTGCAGGGGTCTCAGGCACTGGTATCTCTCAGTCCCTCCTTTGCTCTGCCTGTGGCACAGAACAGTCTGGTCTCCTGGGGCTGGTCTCCTTTCTGTGGTTTGATTTCAGGGGCCGGTGCTGGGTTGTGGTGGTGGCCTCCTCAACTATAGAAGAGGTCCCGCTGCATGATCTACTGGTCCCTTCTGCCTTATATCCACCTCTATGAATCCTGGCTCTGCTTCAGCCTTCCCGTGATTTAATCTCTCTGGGCCTCAGTTCTACACCGGCACAAGGGGACACTAACCCTTCCTTTGTCTGGGTGGCTTGTGAGCTCCCCGGGGCAGGGCCTAGTGCAATGAAGCCCTGATATCAGCTGGGGCCTCTGGGTGCTAGAGAGAGCCACACACCAGGGTGGGGAGAGGAGAGGGGGGTTGGGTGGTGGGCAGTTTCAGGAGGTGAGCTGGAGGGGCTGGTGAATGGATTGCTCTTAGGGGAGGGTGTGGAGTGAGGGATATGGTGACTTTGGGGCAAAATTCCATGAGATGTCCCCTAGTTTCCGAGTGCCAGGTGAGAGCTTGAATCCACAACACAGAGTTTGGGGGTGATGGGGAGGCTAGCCCCCACAGCCTGTGTGCAGGATGAGGCTGTAGATCTATCTCCCCCTTCTTTAACTTGTACAAAGCATTTCTGTTACAGTAGAGCCACAGCTTCTGGAGTCCCAGTCCTAGACCATGCGGCCTGTGAGGCAAAGGCATGCTCAGCTATTGAAACATGGTAAATGGCACACAGAAACACGCTCTCCTTCTCTCTCACACACAAACTGATGTGACACAGACACATGCACATACTCACACATGGCACCTGTGCACTGTATGAACTACACACAGCGCAGCAGTCTGCCTAGAAACTCGGATTTGAGCTATGCACCAACAATCTTTTGGAATCCAGAGATTTCAGCTTCTCAAACCAATATGGCTTACTCAATAAATAAAGCGAGAAGGCAAGAAATCTAGCCATAGTGAATGCCCTCTGGCAACAGGACCCAGGCAAAAAGGGCCTCCTAGCACTGTGGGGTTTCAAACAGGCCTCTTCACTTTCTGCTGGCAATCCGCGATCTGCACCCTGGCTCACGTTCTGAAGAGCTTCCTGGACAGTTCATTTAACAACCTTGCAAAAAAATCCAGCCAAGTATGGACCCACTTGTCACATGTGTCCCTCTGTCTTGCAATCTAACACACTCATGACTGGTTGTGGTCAAGCCAAGCCTTCAGTTCCTTTTGCCTATGAGCATGGAACATTGTCAGGCTTAATCAGGATTCTACACCTCTTTACTTGTGAGTACTCTCTGAATGTGCAATAGCGTTGTGCACACGTAGGACTTGATGCTTTTGTCCTTCTAAGATGCATTGTGGTGCAGGGTGAACTCCTGCAGTGATATCCTGACAATGGCTTAGCAGCTAATGCCTGTAATAAGCAGCAGCCACATTTTATGGCTCATGGGCACCTTGTGTTCCCTCATCTCTGTGGTATATCCACCTCTGCTGCGTTTCTCATGATAGACGCAGGTTGTAAATGCTTTAGAGTAGTGACTATTAGAGGTAGGTGAATAGCTGATTTTTCAATTTGGCCACCGCTCTGATAAAAAGTGGGTTGGGGGGGTGGGGGAAGAAGTGTTCTGGATCAAACCAAAATTATTATTTTTTCCAAATTTCTTGGTAAAGCAAAGAAGTAAAAAAAAAAGTTTTGGGTGGAATTAAGTGTTTAGTTTAACCCACATTGAAATGTTTCATTGTAGTTGCAGGGGGGTTTACTGGAAAAAAAAAACCATTAGGGAAATTCTGAAATGAAACATCTTTCTGAAAAGTCAAACTACTTCAATGTTTCTGAAAAGTGTATATTTTTAATTTACTGAAACTATTCACCATAACGGACCTGAATTCATGAATAGTCTTTGTTGCCTCAAATCTACATTTTTGATGCAAAAAAAAAAATTGGATGAAAAATGTCACCCAGTTCTAGTGACCATCCTTTTGTTTATATGTTTGTACAGCACCTAGCGCTATGAATCACACTATCCCTAACTCAGGCCACTAGTTCTCAACCTTTTTTCATTTGTGGACCTCTACAAAATTTCAAATGCAGGTGCAGACCCCTTTGGAAATCTATTGTCTGTGTATATAATTGCATTCTGTTCAGTCAGTTTGCAGACTAATCTATTGCAGATCCCTTAGACATTGTCCGTGGACCACAGATTGAGAACCACTGCACTAGGCAATACTATAATAATTATAATATCACAGGGGAATGTGACAGAGCTCTGGATATTTGGTGCTTCTGCACTATGGAAATTGCCACATTATTCCTCCCTTGTCACAGAACTTTGCTTTAGAACCTAAACCTACCTTTAAAACAGTGTTCAAATGCTGGCAGCAAAGAATGCCTTCAAATGTGGCGGCAGCATAACTGATGCAATGATACCTACCTCAGCCTGCAGCCAGCCTGAAACAACAGCTCTGAAAGCGGCTGAACAGCTCCATGCATCTCAGTGGGGTAGGAAGACTGAAATGGGCATGCTGCCAACTATTTCACTGCTTATTGTTGTAGTAGAAATATCTCCATCCCAAACTGCCACCTCACCCCCCACTCCAGGTGCCAAAAAGCTATCCACCAAAGCCTTCGACCACCTTCCCTCCCCCCACCCAACACAACTTAGATTCCGCAGTTTTACACAGTCGTTGCAAAAAGGAAGCGACACATGCAAAACTACAAATGTGACTAGCCCATTACTGCCAACGCCCAGCATTCAACCACTAGCTTGCTCCCCCTCCCCGCCAAAACCATGAGATTTTGAAGAATGAGAAGTTTGGGATTCTTTTATTTGCATTCTGGTAGCTGAATCTTTAGGATTCGTATTTTCAAGTTTCGCTCTGCAACAGCAAGCATCAGAAACTCTCCCCACCCCTCTTTTTCCCCCCTCTTTTTAAACAAAATCTGAGATTCTGATGACTCCAGGACCTGGGACTTTGAGCAGGAAATACAGAGAGAGAGCTGGCAATGCTGAATTAGCATAAAACAGCAAATGAAATATCACAGGGGCTGCTGTTCTGAGCATTAGGACTAGGAAAAGCAATGTGACCTAGTGGAGAAAGCCCGGGACTGGGGCTCAGGGGAGGTGGGTTCTATTCTGCAAGTCCCTTTGCGCCTCAGTTTCCCTATGTGTAAAACAGGGATAACGCTCCTGCCTTCCATTGGGAAGCCCTTTGAGATCCACTGATGAAGGACCCTATGTAAGTGCTAGGCAGTATTAGTCAGCTCAATCTTTCAATTAAACCCTTCATTTATTCCATTAAATGCAGCTGCCTTAGATGTCCCAGTCTGTTGCCCCAGGAGGGCCTTCGCCACAGTATTTTGGGGCAACTTTGCACAGTGAACATAGGGTCTTGACAAGAGGCATCATTTACAGTTGCCCCCCATCCCAGACCTTGGTTTGCCCCCCTTTCCAACTTTGGACATGGTCATTAGAACAGCAATAGTTGCCTAGTTTCTAATTTGTGATGCTTTTCGGGATGGAGAATGTTCTAGATGTTGACACTGTTTTACCCCCATGCCCCCAGCCTTGACTAGGGGCATTCATTCACTTTGGGACGTTTGTAACTTGGAAAGGAGGCATCTATCCTTCCCCGATTGCTCTCAGAGGGTGCAAGCACAAGCATTACGGTACATCGCAGGGAGCGCCTCTTGAGGCTAGAACAGGGCCTTAGAGGTTACAGCTGAGGAACTGCATTTCTCAAGGCCTTGCACTACCGTATGGAGTGACATGCACGCCCATCACACTAGTTTGAAAAAAGCAGGGATTGGTTGAGTGGAGAATGCAACACAGTTTAATGCCTCTGCAGGGCAGCCTGCACTCCTGTCAGCAGAGCTCTGGTTAACATCTCTGCTAGGGTCCACGCAGCTTAACTCCTATCTCAGGGCAGTCTGGTAAGAAGCCCATGCTGCATGTAGCTAAGGGAGACAAAAAACAGAGATGCTCTCTGCTTGGCCCAAGCCCCCCAGCCGGGAGGCAAACAACTCAGGGCCTCCCACTTCCTTTAAAAAGGAGGCTCTGTCAAATAGCTGCGTGCTCTGCTGCTGACAGGCAGCTTGGGCCATGACACAGGAGTGATTTCTGTAGCCTTAGGAAGGGAAAGTGGATGTAGAAGACATTGAGCTGGGGTAGCTGAGCTAAAGGGAGTACACTGATGGCAATTAGATAGACGGATCCCGGTGAGTGGGAGAGGTTAGCTAGACAGCCTGGTTGCTCACTATGATTTGCTCATAACTGCCAACACAGAGGCCCTCAAGTACCCACTTCT